CAACACAGCAGCAGCCATGAGGTGACCATGCTTGCCGCCTCCTGCACCTCAAAAATAATAAGACCTCCCCGAAAATAAGGCCAAGCACTTATTTCAAGGGTCAAAAGAAAATAAGACCCTGTCTTATTTTCAGGAAAACGTGTTATTTAATTGACTATTTAAGATTGGTTAAGTTTGGAAGCCTTCTATCATGAGAAATACCCTGGAGAAAACAAAAACAAACCCCATCCGATCCAATATTGATTTACCAGCAGTAGCGTTTGTACTGATCTGCGCATTTCTAGCTGCCACTCTGATTGAGAACAACAAAGAGGTAGCCCTGATTGCTTCCTTGCACACCTGTTCATATAGTACCATCCTTTGCTTTCTGTTGACTTACTGGTAAATGTGATGTTGAAGCCACGCTTCTCAGTTGAGTGATCTGTCTGGAATTCCAACCTGGCAACATGGCCACTACTGGTCAGAGAAGATGGGAGTTGGTTTCCAGAGAAGGTCCCAAGGGTGGGTGATTCAGCTGTTCCACCATCCTTCACCGCCAAGAAGTCAAACTGAGGCTCCACGTCAAAATCATTGAAAGCCAAATGGATCCGACTTTCAGGTTTTGCGATGATTAGCCAAACGCAGTGCAAGCTGCTGCCATATTCCTCGGGGTAATTCGGGGAGAGCACAATCCCAGATGGACTAGTGAAATTGAAGAAGCAGGAAACTGCAGTGAGAAAAACAAAAGAAAGGGAGGAAGGAAGAGGAGAGGAGTGTCACAATGCCTGCAACTTAATCAGATGAATTTAATGCCAGTTCTTTGCATTCTTGAGGTTGTAAAGACAATGTAAAAAGAGAAACAGAAAATGAAATTCAAGAATTGCTATCTTGTCAGTTAAATATAAAGCTATCTATTTCTCAAAGCAGCTTTTCTCCCTTTAATCTTTGTTTTGTTTTCTATTTTCGTACTTTGGAATATTCATCAACAGTAAAAATTCTAGACTGGAGATCTCAGTATTACACATCAAGCTACAAATAGAAATCCTGATTATATTACAAAATAATTATATGCAGTTTGTGATAGCCTATCAGTGCCACACTTAGTTTTATCTGTACAATTGAAGGAACTGTACGATTAATACCTCAGATTTATACCAATGCAATTTTTTTCTTATCTTTAAAAGTTTTAAGTTATCAAATTATTGCATCAGGAAAATTTTGGTGTGTTTTCTTTTGTAGAAATGCCAGTGTACCTAACTGATATCTGAATTCTGTAATGTATTAATTGGATCTTTTATACAATAAAAAATGAACTACCAAAAAGGGGAAAAAATAGAATCCTCTTTGATTGAAGATAAATTCAGAAGAGTGAAGGATAATTAAAAATTATATATATAATATCTCTATTGTATATGATACAACGTTCAATCCCCCCCCACCGTTTCAATAAATAAGTAGGATTTTTCAAAGGGGAGAAAGTAGGTCTGAATTCAGGTTGAAAATGCAATAAAGGAAAAAGCAAAATTTATTGACCCTAAAGGGGTCTTTGCTAATCTGCTTTACAGGATGAGTAATTAAAGTGAAAAAACCAACACTCTTTACTATAATATGTCAGTTAAAACCGTCTATATGAAGTTGTGGAAAACAACCCAAATCTTGGAACTTAGGAATATTACGTTAAATATGAGATACAGCAATTGGATATGATAAAATTATTTGGTTGATTTTGGCATTCCAAGTCTATTTGTGTATTTACTAGTTTTAAGTATATTTTTCTAGAATGTACAGTATTTGAAATAATTTTCTGACAAAAGGTTTTGAAATTGACCACTGACATTGATTTAATGATTCGTAGAATAAGCTCAAGGTAAAGGTAAAGGTTCCCCTCATACATAAGTGCTAGTTGTTCCCGACTCTAGGGGGCGGTGCTCATCTCTGTTTCGAAGGTGAAGAGCCAGCACTGTCCAAAGACATCTCCGTGGTCATGTGGCCAGCATGACTAAATGCCGAAGGCGCACGGAACACTGTTACCTTCCCACCAAAGGTGGTCCT